ATAAAATTGAACTCATAATCAGCTATTGCAATAACTAATTAATCAAAGTGTTCGCAATTTGGAAACGCAATAAAAACAAGATCAGCGTTATTTTTGTGTTCCAAATTGCGAACACTTTTTTCTTAATTGGCTTAATTTTTGTTCGCAATTTGGAAGCTACGCAAATATTATAAACATTACACGATAAAGCTTAGAGAGAGGGTACGTTACTAATGAAGATTCGTGGTTTGAGAGAGAATAGGGATCGGTCGCAGGCGATTTATTTTCTTCAATTTTTTTTTATCATAGTGCGATAATATGTTATTGTTTGAACAAAAGGAACGAATAATTATTAATTTTTGTTTTGATTGAATAAACAAAAAAAAGTCACAATATCAAAAGCAAAATAGAATTTTTTTTAATGCTTCTTAAGACGAAAGTTTTTTTTAAAATCATTCTATTCGATTTGTTAGGGGGGATGAAAGATGGGCGCCGATTATGGGATAAATTAGAAAAAAGTCAAACTAGTAGAAAAAATTTTTAAAATATGCTGGACTTCGTTATTTTCAATAGTTGAAAATTGAATAAAATAATAAACTAATTATCTATGAAAGAAAATATTTTTTTTCAAAACGTTAATTTATTCAAAATACATAAAAATTGAGCATTGTAGAATTTTATTTGTCAACTTTATTAATCATATATTAAAGATTCATGCAGATAATGATTTCAACTTTACTTTTTTTCTCAATATTATCTAGAATAGTAAAAAGATTTTCATTAACTTCAAAAATGTTAAAACGTTTACTTTGTATTGGAATTCTCTGAAATATAACAGAGAATCGTTGATTTAAATATTATTTTTTCTACTGAACATATGTATGTCTATATTTATAGATTTGAATTCGATTTTTTTTGATCATCTGTTTTTTTAAAGAGCCTTTGAATTGATGTTCATGATGAATAATGATAACATGTCGCTGAAAACTATATTTATTTGATATCAACCATTGCAATATCTCGAAGCAATAATGTATACTTCAATCGTTTTAATTTACAAAAAAAAACCTTTAAAAAAGAAAAGAAAAAAGAATTCAAATACCATCTCTAATATGAACAACGAGGATGATGATAAATCTAAAGATTTTGTATAATCACATAGATATGATACAGAAATGTACTTTTTTTTCGTACAATTTTATTTAGACATCAATATAGATGTTTATCATATCTATACGATGAAAATTATCATCTAGTATTTGCCATTCATAATACAGTATTCGATTTTTTCATGTTATATCAATACTCAAGTGTCTTAGAGAGAACAATTATTTGTTTCTTTATCAATTCTTTTTCCTATAAATTTCAAAATATGTAATTCAATTCCTTTTATAGAAACTGTTAATTCTAGTATTTTCTTTATTTTACATATAGAATATTAACTTATATTAAAAATCAAACGATCGACAGTTTTTGTTTTGATAGATGAAAACATAAAGTATCAATAAAAAATGCAGATGTACATTTCACGAGATATACGAACAATGTTTTGAATACAAAATTATATTAATCATCTACAGAAGATAATTTCTGTTTTTATTTTCGTTGAGAGTTTCATAAATCCCGATTAAAATCAAATTTTAAAAGTACTAATTTAGATGTCACTTGATAGATTACTTAGATAACGGCATTTATTTTTATTTTGGAAGCATGTTCATCAACTGATATAATCGAAACCACGATCCGTTCTGTTTATGAAATCCGAACAAAAAGAAAACAATTATGTAATCCATTATACATATGCATAGCGGCAAGCTATTAATTAGAAACTCTGAATATTATTCCTATAACAAAGACATTTTTTTAAATTAATCAATCAAATATCAGAACAGCAGTATATCCTAAGCAGTTTTTTGTTTTTAAAATTATCCACTTGTAATGATCCAGCGATATATGAATATAAATATTAAGTTAAAGAAAACTTTTATACATAAACAATGAACTACCACAAAATAGCGGATACATTATTTTAATGATGAGAATATTATAATCCGTGTGCACGATTTGCTGTCCGCGGATTTACTGTCCATTGATTAGATAAAATTCGTTCTAATTAATGAATTTATGGAGTGAGGATTTACTGTCCGTTGATTGAAAAAAAGTTATTCCAATTAGTATTTCTTATTTATGAGAATTTACGTTCCGTTGATTAGAGTCAGAGAAAGAACTACAAAAGTGAATATGCGTAACGAGAATCAATGTTGATTATAAAAAAACAATAAAAAAATGTTCGAAACAAAAGAAACAACGATTAATCCTCGGATGGTATTTTAGATCCAGCTGGGCCTACATGCTGCCATTTTTCATTTCCTGTTACGTTGATATGATCCATTTCTAAGTCACTTCTTTTCTAACTTTAAGAGGTAATTTTAGAAAAGAAATCATTCAGAAAATGGTACGTATGAACATTGTGGAAAATGAAAAATAGTATTATGTTGGTCCAGCTAGACTAAAAAAAGTCATCCGAGGATTAATAACCGAAGAATATATTATATGACGTGTGAGGGTGGATTTCGGTGTGGTCGTATTGATATTCCAGCATTCTTGAACGTTGATAAGCCTTGATGTTATGAACATCCATCGAAAAAAAAATCTTGTCTTTTTTTTCTTATTTGTTCCTATATATACTGTTTACTGTTTTTTTTCTGAGCAACATTGATTCTCTTTGCGCAGATTCACTTGTTTATTTCTTTATCTCATTTTAATCACTGATAAGTAAATCCTCACCCATAAGAAACACCAATCGAGATATTTTTTTGTTCAATCAATGAACAGTAAATCCTCAGCAGCGAAAATTCCATTTTTTCTCGAAAAAATCCAATTGAAATAGAAAATCAATCCGCGGACAGTAAATCGTGTAAACCCTTATAGTTTTACATTTCTTCCGGTCATAAAAAAAGAAAAAGAAGAACTAATAGTGCGATATCAGAAGATAATAATTGATTTACATCAAGTTTTTGTTAGTTAATGCTAAGAAATAATTCAGTAATTAAATATCAAAATCCATTCCTGGTAAGAATTTAATATCGCATAAAAATAATGATATTCGAAATGTTTTGCCATACAATGTCCAAATTTTAACTTAAAAAAATTCAACAAGTGCCTGATGTATAATTGTGCTTTATCACTCGTTTATGCAGGTAAATAGAGCAGGGGGCGGGGGGGGGGGGGGGGGAGAAGATGGGTGCTAAAGAAAAAAAAAGCAGTTGAGCAAAATTAATGTCTTTCAAAATTACATTTAAGCAAAGCGCGCCTACTGAAAATTGTTTACGGCAGTAAATCGCACGGCAGTAAATCCAGTATACGATAAATCCCATTTTTGTCGCGTTTTCATTTGATATAAAATTTGTTATTGATACTGTTTCAAATCACAACGTTACCCCCTGGAAAAACATTTTTACGCACCCTGTACACTTGGTGCCAAGACGCTGTAAGTATTGGAGACGATTGAGATAGATATAACATCAGCCCTGACGATTGACTGTAGGGTTTGGGTGTGGGTGTGCGGGTGTGAATGTGGATGTGGCTAGGTGTTGATCTCTTCTTAATTCACATGCACACCCACACTCACACCCATCTACCCTTGTAGGGCAGATTTGCCCTACCAGTTGATAGAGTAATAAAGGTTCCAAGTTTTGGTTTTGAATCGCAATAGTTAAAATATTTAAAAAGTGCGAAAAAATTTTCCGTCAAAACTAAGTTTCTAGGCCTTTCAAAGGTTCCCTCACTACTCTCGAACAAAAATTGACACAAAATTTATAAGTCCATATTCAGAAAGAGCACAAAATCCTGGTTCTAATCCATAGATTTCGACTCGTCTGAAATATTTTCAAGTGGGCCAAAAATAAGCAAATATTTTGTGCGAAAACTTTCGATCTACCCGTTATTTAGATATAAACTGTTTAATAATTGAATTCAGATTTCGGGTTCCAGACATTTGAAAAAAATTCGACTATACATCTACACTTGCATACAAGGAGTCACTTTATTTATGTACGTATGTGTTTCAAATAACTCTAATCTGTCATTATATTGCTTATCTGTATTAGAAAGGAACAAGAAGCGTATATATTATCGCAAGTCGTTATTGAAAAAGGTTTTCAATCTTAATCTGGTACTTAAAAACTGCATAATGCTTTGGCTTGTAATATTGATCATTTTGGGGATAGTTTCATTTATAATCTACAAGAAACACAGTAAACCAGCGGAATTTGCTTCAAATGTTTCTCAATACGATCATGCCATAATTATGGGAGGCAGTATTGGAGGAATTGTGACTGCTGCTTATTTAACGAAATACTTCAAACGAATAACAATTATCGAATCTGATGATGTATTAAGTGATACATTTATGAAATCTACACCCAATCAACTATTAGATTATCGTTGTCGTCTTGCAAGTCCAACATCATTAGGACGTTCAGGTGTTAGTCAAATGTATCATTCACATGTGCTCGCAGGTGAAGGATATATAATATTACAAGAATTATTTCCCCAACTAAAAGATAAATTATTAAATGAATATGATGTTCGTGATTATTCATTAAAAACCGAATGTAGATTCGTTGTCAATGGTTTCGTATTAAATCAAGATTTAACCGAAGATTTTCTCTGGTTGGGTATCGATCGGTTTACATTAGAAACAGTTATGAGAAAAGAATTGTGTTTACAATATGGAAATCAAATTGAATGGAAATGTAATTCAAGAGTAGTGCAACTAATTGTCGATCAATCATTAAATATTGTTAAAGGTATAAAATATCGACAAAAGCATCATGTTGATTCATCATCGATTGATTTGTATGGTGATTTTATTATTGATTGTACTGGTCGAAATACATCATCAGTCAAATGGTTAAAAGAACGATTTAATTTAATTGTACCGACTATACAAATACATTTTGGTGCGGGTTATGTTACATTTGTTGGTGAAAGATTTAAAACTGGAGATCCATCGCTGGATTCAAAACACATAATTGGTTACGGACTTAGTCCTCCCGATAAAAATACAGGAGTTGGTATAATTCCGATACATGAAATAAAAACAATGGATGAAAATTCGTTAGGAACATTATCAACATTTACGCTTCAATGCGCTAATTACGAATATCCACCAAATGATTCCTACGAAAATTTATTAGAATGGATAAAAGAAAAGTTGGATCCAGAATATTATTCGATATTTAAATCAACAAAAGTATGCAGTCCATTAGTTTCATATCGTCGTGCGATTGATGATCGAAAGTGTGTCGAACAATTAGGTAAAAAGTGGCCTCAAAATTATGTATTATTGGGTGATGCAATGTGTACATTTAACCCTACATATGGACAGGGTATGACACATGCATGTAGACAGGCAAGAGAATTAGGAAAAATATTTCAAGAGAATTGTCATAAGTTAAAAGATATTTCTCACATTTTCAATCGTCGTGCTTCAGCAATTAGTGAAGAATGTTGGCTTCTATCGACCACAAATGATTCGAAAACACCAACATTAAAAATTATAAAAACTGATAAAAATGGTGAAATTAAAATTTATCAACGAGGTGATGATTCTGCTCCTACTGAAAATCTTCAACCGCGAGAATCTTTAATGCTCCAGTTTATGCAGTGGTATAATCATTGGTTCTCACAATGTGCATCCAAATCTCGACAATTGTCTACTGATTTTTATCGTGTTATGAATCAGCACAGTAGCCCATTTATATTAATGAAACCAACAACACTTTTAGCAGTCTTTCATACTGCATTCATCAATTATTTTAATTTATCGAAAAAATGATCCGCTTAACACAAATTTTTGTTTTCTTCTTATAACTAATCTTTGGCAGGGTGTGGGTGTGGGTGTGGGGTGTGGGTGTGGGGTGTGGGTGTGGGT